GGAACTATGGTTTTTTTAATAATAACTGAGCCATAAGAAATACTTCTAAATTTGTTGAATAAAGCAAATTAAACTTCACATAGAAAATCGTATAATTGAAGCAATGTGGTTTTCAAAAAGGCACAAAAGGAAGAGTTTTTTTACTTCATAAAAATGAACTTTAATTTGAAAACGTTAATCAAAGTGTCCAAAGATTTGACTGCTAACTTTAACTTGCTTAAAGGATATTTTTTTCAGTTTCAGTGGTATTAAAGCCTTATATTATTAAAAGCTAAACTTTTTATTTTCTGAATTTATGAAGTTTAAGGCATTCTACTTAAGTTTCTAAAATAATTGTAATTATATAAAATTTACAGTTAAACTTACTTTTAAAACATAAAAGACATTTATAGGAATTCTAAGAACAACATTAACCACCTCTTTGTCAGTTTGTCTGTGGTAGCTTGCATGTTGCTATAATGCTGGAAGCTGTGCCACTAGTATTTCAAATACCAGAAGGGTCACCCATAGTGGACAGGTTTCACTGGAGCTTCCAGACAGACACACTAGAAAGAAAGGTCTAGTGATATACTTCTAAAACTTAGCCAATGAAAATCTTATGCCTAGTTCATTATATAGTGCCTGGGGTCTTAAAAGCTTGCAAGTGGCCAGCCAAGGTACAACTGATCTCTATTCACCTGGAGCAACAGAGGAAGAAGGGGAGTCAGGAATAGGAGAAGGATGTGAAATATGTGGCTAATTGCCTCAGTGAAAAACTGCCTCCTTTGCCATGAGCTACCGTTAACTGAACATTTTGATCAAAGATTCTATAGAAGAATCCTGATCCAAAGGGGAGAAATATAGAACAGAATTTCAAATTCCCACGGAATCCAGATTTTCTGGGGCCATGGAGGCTGGATGAACCCCCAAAATTACTGCCCTGAGATAATCTTTAAACCTTACACCAAAAATATCCCCTAACGTCTTCTTAAAACCAAACAATAACCAAAAATTCAAACCCATTTCCATCAAGTCGATTCCAACTCACAGAGACTCTATATAGTTTAGCTAAATTAGTAAAGAATGCCTGCCTTGATAGAGGGTCAGGAGCTGGCTGAATGGACATAGGAAATACGGGGTGGAAAGGAAGAGTGTGTTGTCACAGTACAGGGAGAGCAACTAACATCACATCACAAAATAACGTATGTATAAACTTTTGTATGAAAGACTAACTTGAATTGTAAACTTTCACTTAAAGCACAACGATAACAGATAAATAAATAAATAAAAGAATGCCTGCCTTGAGCACTGCGCTCTTTTAAGAACTATTTCTATATAGGCCCAAATTAATAACAGCAACTCAAAAGTTTAGACAGGAAACTCAGGAGGCAGTAAGTTTATGTTAATGGGGGAGGAACAATTCAGAAAAGCAGGGTGAGAATGACTGCAGAACTTGAAGCATGTAATCAGTGTTACCAAATTGCACACGTAGAAACTGTTAAACTGGTGTATGTTCTGCTGTGTATATTCTCAATAACAACAAAAATTAAAATAAATTATTTTTTAAAAAAACTTTATGGATCACAACAGACTATTGTCCAGTACAGGGCTAGAAGATGAGGCCGTTGGGTTGGAAGGCACTCAAATTACACAATGGCTGCAACAATCACGAAGATGGTGCAGGACGGAGAAACATTTCATTCTATTGTGCATGGAGTCATCCTGAGTCAGAGCCAACTCAACAGCAACTAACAACAACAAGAAAAGCTTATTATTTACTTTTGGCATTCATTTTTTAGTAAGTATTTACTGAATGCCTAAGTGCCAGCCATCATGCTAGACATGAGAATTTAAAGATGCACAAGGCTCAGTTCCAACCCTCGTGTAGTGCCAAGTCCAATGACAAGGCAGACAATAAAAATGGGAACAAGGTCTATAAAGAAGTATGAAGACAGTGAGGGAGCTCAGTGAAAGGATCAACTAACTCAGCCTAGGGAACAAAGGAAAGTTGAGAGCGGAAGTAACATTTGAACAAATTCTATGACGAGAAAGAATTTTTCAGATGAAAGGGGAGGGCAGAGGTGGAAGAAGAGGGATTTCTAGGTAAATGGGAAAAAAAAGGACATGCAAATAAATGAAATCCTGAACAGATCTGGCATGCTCATGGTTGCTAAGTAATTCTTTATGGCTAAAGCATAAGGTAGGAGCTCTGGTGGCACCGTGGTTAAATGCTTGGCTACTAACTGAAAGGTTGGTAATTTGAACCCACCAGCTGCTCCACAGGGGAAAGATGTGACAGTCTGCTTCCATAAAGATTTACAGCATTGGAAACTCTATATAGGCAGTTCTACTCAGTCCTATAGTGTCGCTATGAGTTGGAATTGACTCGATGGCAATGGGTAAAGCATAGTGTGGGTAATGAACTATTGAGAGCTGATGCTGAAGAGGTAGCCATGGAGAGCCTAGAGAATTTAGACTTTGTGTTGCAGTTGATAGGGAACCAACTGCAGTTTTCAAGCTGAGAGTTCCAGGAGGTACAGAGACCACATAGAAAGCTGCTTCAGGAAGCAGTCCAGGCAAGAGATGAGGACCTGGGCTAAGGCAGCATCAATGAAAATGGAGAGAACAGGCTGGATTCCAGAGACATATCCAGAATAAAATCATGAGGATCTGTTAATAAGAGAGAGAGAAGAATCAAGGATGGTGCTAAGGTTTGTGGTGAGGGGACATGAGTTGATCAGTTGATTAACAAAGATGAATACAGGAAAAAACACAGATTTAGACAGTGCGGGAGAGGGAGCACAGGGGAAGGAAGAAGTAAAGGGTTAGTTTAATACATCTGCAGGACACTGAGGTAGAGATATCAAGAAGAAAACTCTCCAGTGATGACAATACTGAGTATTCGTATTCTTTACTCTATCTGAAGTACTTTTACATTTATCCTGGGAACAAGATAATGAGATAAGCATTTCAGATACGAAAACCAGGGCTCAAAAAAAGTGAAGTGACTTCTCACAGGCCAAACACTGAGTGGGCTACTGAGCTAGAACTGGATAAGAAATATCATGCTCCTACCTAGTCAAGTGAGCTTTCAAAAGTTACTCCATGCCACAGATAAATTACAGCTAGTTTCCAACTGTCACTTAGGGTTTTGCTGCCTCCCCAAAGCCCAATTTCATGCAATCACCACTGAGTCCATAATTACCAAGTCCAGACCACCTGGTGTAATGACAATATACAGAAGAAACAAAAAATTTAGAACTAGTAAGAATCATGTAGATGAAAAATATTTTAGACCTTTAAAAGCTGGAAAGTATTTCAGTCCCTCTGAAGGAGGAACCCCCCCCATGATAATTACCCAAAGTAACCTCCATAAATTTACCACATTTTAAAAGGGTTCAATGAGTCGGAATTGACTTAATGGCAATGGATTTGGCTTGGTTTTTTGGTCTAGTTAATTCAGGAAATTCTGGAAACAACTGGATTGCTTTATTGTACAATTCTACAAATCTTTTAAGAGGCTAATAATGTACACTGAAAATTCCTAGGACTATAATTAAAGGATGTAGTATTCCCCAAACATATGTGACCACTAAACACTCAACTTCCTCTCCTTTTTTTATTTAGAGTATCCTATGTGACTATCATCCCACAGAATACAGTTTGAGAATCCTGCTCAATGAAAATATTTAATTAAGCAACATACCAGCAAATATAAATTAAAGATACATAAAAATAGTATATTAATGCTCAGGGAATGAAAATTTTTTAAAAAAGTGATCAGAGTCTGTAGGATGCATTTAGCAGTTACCTGTCCAATATACTGCTAATTTTGCAATGTAACTTAGAAATATGAATTAGGGACAGGTATGTTGAAACCAGTAGAAATCCTTTAAATTGCTCATGATGTACTAAAAAAGTTCTATAACCACAAGTGACAATTTTAACTCCTTAGCCCTTTCCCAATTCAAACCTTCCTACTTGAAAACTCTACCTGAAATCCAAATTACTATAATGCAAAGAGACCTAGGAAAATGGAAAAATATGTAGACATGAGAGTTCCTCCTGTTTACTAATTCAGAGGTTTTCTGTTCTTTCACTGATTCATCAGTCTATTTTATTCTCTGTTCCTACAAATTACAAATATGATTTCTAGCAATACATTCTCCAAAACAAAATCATGGTATTAAACAGAATTTTTCTTTCATTAAATATTCAATTAAAAGCTAAAAAAATACTAACAGTATTAATGCATGTCTCGTTTTATCTTTATGAGGCTAGTTCATTAAAGGTAAATAGAATATCATTATTATCTTGGCCATTATTTCAAAACTATGAAAAAAATAATTGGATGCTTTTATTCTAGGACATATTATCCATAATCCAAAGGAGACTGCATTAGATATGTAAAAACAAATCATTTAGAGCTACACGACTGAACTACATTTATACAGACTAAACTTCCCCTTTTCCTTAATTTCAGTGTATAATAGGGAAAAAAACAAAACAAAACAAAACAAAACCCTTTCCATAAATTGAGTGTTTTTAACTGCAATCAAATGGGAAATTTTTACTGGGATTACATGATTCATCATTTCTAAAGTAATAAGCAGTTTTGTGGAGATAGCTGCAGCCTTGAGCTATGAAAATTAGGTGAATTAAACTTCCCCATTACTTGGACTTTCTCCTCACACTGGGTCCCTTATCTGTGTCCCTGAATCTGCTGAGGTCCCAAAATGGAGACTTGGATGCATAAATCCAAGGGTGTTTCCAAAGAATCAGCCATATAAATAAAAAGTAAGGGCACAAGATAAAAGCACTTGAGAAATGCTTTAAAATTCACTATTAAAACTGGAGAAAAATTACCACTGTTGCAGATTTATTTATATTTGCTTCTTAACTGGCAAAAGAAAAATGGACACACACTGACGTGCATGTATGCTCACATAATAATTTACAAATGAACTGACAAAAAATTTCGGCATAACTGAATATTTACAAATAGTAGTAAGTTGTCTTACCTTCAAAAGCTCAAAGTAATGTAGACAGTGGTAAATAGGGGCTAGAAGTAGCCTGGGTAAAACATATTGAACAGCTTCTTTGAAACCTTCGCCTATTGACTAGAAAACAAAGTGTTTTAATTTTTTTTTTTTTTAGGTTTTCCTTTCAGACATTGTATATCTTGATTTAAAACTTACTGTACCTGCAAATAGAGTGCCGCTCCAGGCTTTGATAACTGACTAAGGAAACGATCATGAAAACCAGGCCGCAAAATATCTCGAGCATAGGATTCATACGGATCAAATGCCAGTTCCTTAGAAAATAAAGAAGGTAAAAAATAAATTAATCTTTGTCCAAGGTAAAACATAAATAACCTACTACCATAAATAATGAGATTAAATTATGGGCACATCTGTACCTGCAGAATTACATATTTCTTTTAAAGCCTCTAAAAGTTATGACTACTAATTAGGATTTTAACAGAATAAATCTAATATTCTCAAGTAAAAAAGTAAATAAATTCTTTTTGATGAGTAATAGGATCCTTCTATATTACAACAGCTCTCATCAAATATTCTAGTATACAGAATAATCAAGAAACATGGCCATAAAAATGGGCAGACTTTAGGTTCTGGAAAACAAACACAAACTCTAGCCTGAACTTCAAAGGACACAGATATCTACAACCTGGTAAGATGTAAACATTTAGAATACCGATACCAGACATTTATTTTTTCGGGGTGGACTTTTACTTTGACATTCTGTAAAAGAGTGTATATCATCTAAATTCAATGTTACAGTTTCCACAGAACAAAACAATTTAATCCAAACTGAAAAAAAAAAACTATCACCATTAACATCATCAATCATGAACAGTGTAAACAACTCTAACTGCTAGAGCTAAATGGGTAGAATATACTGGTTTTGATGATTCCTGAAGAAAAAGAAGAGAATAGGTGTCTCAATTTTAGCAGAATGAATAGGGCTGCAATTATCCTCCACCCCGTGGAAAATGGTGCCTTAGATTCTGGCAAGAGCTCATTTCCAGAAAGGATAATTCTAGAAAGTAGAAGAGGCCATCTAGTGGAGGAGTGTGGTAAAGGGCGGTATGACAGAAAAATATTTATATATTGGTTACCCTTAACGCAGTGGTTAAGTGATATGGCTGCTAACGAAAAAGGTCGGCAGTTCAAATCCACCAGCCGTTCCTTGGAAACCCTGTGGAGCAGTTCTCTCCGTCCTCTAGGGTCTCTATGGGTTGGAATTGACTCAATGGCAACAAGTGTTTTTTTTAGATCAGAAATCAGAAGACCTGAGTTCTGGTCTTTGTGAAACGCAATATGGCAAATAAAGTTCCAAGTCATCTTGGATTCCCTGAGCTGGCTCCTAGTTCATTTCCCAATTTCAACTCCTTCAACTCTTTCCAACTAAAAATTTCTAGAATAATATAACACCACAAATTGCAGTTTACTGTGGATCTTTTAGGAATGGATAATAAGGTTTCCACAATACAATAGGGAGGAGGCAGGTATGGACAGAATGGATGAGAGAGAGCAATAAAAATGTGATTAGATGGTTATATCTTAGGCCTCTTAAACTATCATATGCCCCAGATAAAAAACCCTGGAGAAGGACAGCATGCTTAATAGAGTAGAGGGTCAGCGAAAAAGAGGAAAACCCCCATGGACATGGACTGACACGTTGCTGCAACAATGGGCTCAAGCACAGCAACCATTATAAGGATGGCGCAGGATTAGGCAGTGGTTCGTTCTGTTGTACACAGGATCTCTCTGAGTCGGAACCAACTCGATGACACCTAACAACACAACAACCCAGGTAAATATTTATCCTCCTCCTCCCCTTTTAATAGTCTTAAATTTATTGTGGAATATTTATAATAAAGACTATACAGTATAGTAGTTTAAAAGCATAGTCTTTGGAGAATTAGAGACCCAATTCTAATTCTACTACTTATTAGTTGTGTTACCTTCAACAAATACTTTCTCTGAGCCAGCTTCCTCACTGGAAAACATGAAAACAACCTATCTCATGGGGCTGTTTAAAGAATTAAATATCACATGTAAAGTGCTTACAGTACTGTCTGCCACTAAATAAATGATAGCTAGTATTATCATTCTAAAAAAGCTAATCTCAAGAGAGGAAAAAAATTGACAACTAACTAGACATGCAAGCTCTCATTACATACAGTTTTATTCCTAAGGACAAATCTGTAGAGTGGCAAGCTTTTCTAAGAATCCATATATGAGTTTATAGATGGTTCAGTGGTTAAAATGTAGCATGTGCTTATAAGATTTAAAGAAAAACATAATATAAAATTGTCAATACACATAATTGTGCTAAAAAAAAAACCCTGTTGCCGTCAAGTCAATTCTGACTCATAACGACCCTATAGGACAGAGTAGAACTGCCCCATAGAGTTTCCAAGGAGCACCTGGTGGATTCGAACTGCTGACTTTTTGGTCAGCAGCCCTAACTCTTAACCACTATGCCACCAGGGTGTCCCATAATTGTGCTAGCAATCAAAAATGTAAAATATTTTAAACATACAGAAAAGCACAAAGAACAGCCTAACACAAGCAAACCTGCCATCTAGCTCAAATAAGCTCTAATATTTTATGCTTACTTCAGATTATTTTTTAAAGAAATACAATAGTTATAACTGATCCCTTGGACTCTCTATCTCCTATGTTTTCTTCTAAGAGTTTTACAGCTTTAGCTCTTAAGTTAGGTCTTTGATCCATTTTGAGTTAAGTTTTGTATATGGTGTCAGTAAGGGTCCCACTCCATTTTTTGGTGCTTTTCTTATAACTTTATGGTAACTTTTCTTGAAAAGGTTTTCAATTTTTCATCTCTTCCTTTATTGTTTGTGCTTTCTGTGTCTTAAAGAAACCCTTCCCTACCTCAAAGTCATAAATATGTTCTCCTCTATTTTCATCTGAACTTCTGAAGTTTTGCTTTTCATTTTTAGATTTAGAATCTATTTGGAACTTTTGTGTATAATGTTAGCTAAGGAAGGAATTTTTCTTCTATATGAATAACCAGTTTTGACCCAGCATCATTTATTAATTAGTTCTTCCTTTCACTATGGATCAATAATCCAATCTCTGTCATGTATCACAAGTTTATGTTATGTGTGTGTATATTTTTTTCCAGGACTCTACTGTTCCACTGTCCATACCTGCACCAATACAATTATGTGGCTTTAAAATAAATCTTAATATCTGGTAGGACACCCCTCCATTTGTTATTCATCAAATTTTTTATTATTTTTGTTCCTTTTCTTTCACATAAATTTTAGAATCAGCTTGTTAGGCACTGGATTTACAGATTATTTGGGAGGGGAGCAACTGGTATTATTATAATAGTGACTCTTTCCATCCTGAACATGGTATGTACATTTACTCACAGATTCTGTATTTGTGAATTTGCCTACTTGCTAAAAATACTTGCAGCGCTTTCACAGTCATTTGCAGGCACGCACATGCACACAGTGAGAGAAAATTCCCAGCTCAAGTTATAGACGACTCGCTCAGTATTCATTAATTCAGTATTTGCAGGAACTCCTTATAGAATATAAGCACTGTGATTAATAAGAATCAATCATATTTCCATTTATTCAAATCTTCTCTTATGAACTTAGTATTTTATAATTTTCTCAACAAAGGTCTTATATATCTTTAGTTGGATTTATTTCTGAGTACCCTATAGTCTTTTTTTTTTTTTTTTTTTTTTACAGTGAATGGTACCTTTTCTAATATTTATATTCTATTGGTTATAACTGAGCAAAATAATGTTAGCAATTTTTTTATACGCTGATTTTTTATCTAGCAACTATACTGAACCTGAAAACCTTGGTGGTGTAGTGGTTTAAGTGCTACAGTTGCTAACCAAAAGGTCAGCAGTTCGAATCCACCGGGCGCTCCTTGGAAACTCTATGGGGCAGTTCTACTCTGTGCTATAGGGTCGCTATGAGTTGGAATCGACTCTACGGCAATGGGTTTGGTTTTTTTTTTTTAAATACTGAACCTGCTTATTAATTGTAGCACTATATAAATTTTCCGGGATCTTCTACATAGACAATTATGTTGACTACAAAAAGGACAATTTTGTCTCCTCTATTTTTGTCTTTTTACATTGGTTAATAACTCTATTAGTAGAGTACTGATAGAAATGGTGATAGTGGGCATTCTTTCTAGCTTTTGAATATTTCTATAGTTTAGTCATTAAGTATGATATCCGCTACAGATTTTTGATAAATTTCATTTATTAGGTTGGGAAAGTTCCCCTCCTATTCCTCATTTGCCACACATTTTAAGAAATTCATGAATGAATGCTGAATTTTACGAAATGCTTTTCGTATCTGTTGAGGTTTACATCTGTTAATGTGGAATATTACATTAAAATTTTTTTAAATTTCAAACCACTTATGAGTACTCTAAGATAAACCACACTTGGATATAGTGTTTAGTTGTATTATAAACTGATGCATTTGCTTTGCCATTTTTAAAAAGATTTTCGCATGTATGACAGTGGTTCATACTCTTTTTTGTGTTGTCCTTATCCAGTTTCAACATGTCTATACAATCCTGCTAAACTGAGTTGCCCTTTGTGTCCCTGTTCTTTGAAACAATTTGTAGAAGACCAACATTAACTTTTTGGAAGACTGGTAAAACTCATCTATGATAGCACCTGGTATATGCCTTGAGTCATTTGTGAAAATATAATTTTGATTATATTTCAATATTTTTAATAGTTTTTAATTTGATCAGGATACCTACTTTCTCTTGCCAATTTTCCTGTTTTATATTTATATATTTTAGATAGTTTAACTATTTCATTCAAATTTTCAAAAATTTGAAGTGGATTTTACTGTACTTTTATGACTGAAAAAATCTTTATCTATAGTTCTGTCTTTTTTGATGCTAATATTCGTGCTTTTCTCCCCACGTCCCCTTGATTACCCTTAACTAGAGGTTGTTTTTACATTTAATGTTTTCTAATTCATTAATTGTTTTTCTATTACTTCCTTGCTTATATTCTCTTAAGCTTACCCTATTATCTTTACTGTTTCTTGAACTGAAACCTTAACTAATTACTCCTATTTTTTAAAAATACATTTAAAACAAGTTTTCTCTAAGAACTGCATTAGCTGCATCTTACAAGGTTTGGTATATAGTACTTTCACTTTTGTTCAATAGTACTCCATTATCGTTCCCTCTTTAATCTGTGAGAGATTTATAAATTGATTTTTAAGGTTTCCAAACATTTTTTAAAACTTTTCTTACTGTGAAT